ACCTTGCAAAACTACATCTCCCAGGATTCCATAGCACTGCGCTTTGGCAGTTCACGCGGTGTCAAACTGCATCACTTCTGCAGTGTAGCTGCACCTTCTGAGGGCCCTTCCACACAGCCCTATATCCCAGAATATCAAGGCAGAAAATCCCACATTATCCGAGTGTGGATTCAGATAACCCAGTTATCTGAATCCTGCCTTTATATTCTGGGATATAGGGCTGGGTGGAAGGGCCCTGACTCTAAGCCTGCATAACATTTGTAAGCCCTCCTGCAGTGCAGTTCTCCACAGCAGTGGCTCTCAGACTATGGCTTCAAGTTTTTTTGGGAATTCAGCCTTCAAAAGCCCCCACTGCCGGCTAACAAACAGGAATCCTGGGCAGTAAAGTCCAAAAATATAAGCCCCAAAGTTTAAGGATAGATCAGCTCTGAACCTCTCTGAAGTCAATGAGACTTAAAACTGTAGGTAGGCGTATATACTACTGGCAGTCCTGATCTCGATACTGTTTTTGTGCAGGTTTTCCAACTTAATGGATCCCAACCTGTACAAGGTTTCTTTCTAAACTTCCAATGCTTTGTTGTTGTGTGCCTCCAAGTCAGTTCTGACTTAAGGCAAGCCTTCTGCAGGGTTTTCTGAGACTGAACATGTGTGACTCTCCCAAGGTCACCCAGTGGGTTCCCATGTCTGCGCGAGGAATCAAACCCTTGCCTCCAGTCGTAGCCCAATGCTCAAACCATTACACCCTGCTAGTTCTCCTTCCAGTGCAACAGTTCAGAAGCTTCAAATGGTCCAACGGGCGGCAGCTAGGTTGCTAACAGGAGTGGCACTCAGGGAGCACACAACTCCTTTGTTGCACCAGCTCCACTGGCTGCCAGTCTGCTACCGAGCACAGTTCAAAGTGTTGGCTTCAGCCTATAAAGCCCTAAACGGTTCTGGCTCTGCTTATCTGTCCAAACGTATCTCTCCTTATGAACCATCCAGGAATTTAAGATCTTCTAGACAGGCCCTGCTCTCTGTCCCTTCACAGGTTCGGTTGGTGGGGATGAGAGATAGGGCCTTTTCAGTGGTGGCCCCTTGGCTATGGAACGCCCTCCCAGGAGACATTAGATTGGCTCCCACTCTCCTAACATTAAAAAAAAAGTCAAAATCTGGTTTTGTGAGCAGGCTTTCTCAAATGCAATGTAGTAAATAATTACTTGACCTCAGAATGGCTGGACAATTGCAATTGGATAAAAATTCTGGAAATTAGATACGGAGGATTTATGTTTTTATGTTTTATTGATTTTATTGTTTATAGAATTTTATGGATGTTTATATGCTTTTAATTGTTTATATTATTGTGGCATCGGTGTCGGTCTTGTAAACCGTCTTGAGTCACCCTCGGCTGAGAAGGGCGGTATAGAAATATAGTAAATAAAATAAATAAATAAACACTTTAAAAAAATATACAGGTAGTTAAATTTTTCAAAATCCAATTATCACAGGGACATAAAGTGAGGTGAAATCTCACAGGGGCATAGACAGCAAAATAAACATCACAGGGGTGTTGACCCTTCCTTGTGCTATATTATTCCAGGCAGGTGTGTCTTCATCCAAAACTTTCACACACACACACGTGCACAGCTGGAGTTACACTTAAAATGTACCTGTTCCGACTTATATAGAATTTCAACTTAAAAGAACAAACCTACAGAACCTTACTATCCACTTCAAGCAGATTGTTACAAATGTAGACATACACATCTCAATCAACGTCACTTTTAGAACCACCCTTGTCAGAGTGGAAACATTTCTCTCGGTCTGCAATATATTTCTGTTCCTATTCCTTGCCAAAATTATCTGTAGCCTGGGAACACAGAACTAAGGAAAGTATAGTCACATAAGCAATCACTGACACATAGAGGAAATGAAATAACAAGTGAGAGGCAGATACACAGAAATGAGTTACAAGAGTAACAGTAGCCACAAGCTCCAAGGAATACTATGTATGCTAGCCGAGAGTGTCACAGGATGTGTGAAATTGTCAGTACTCCTGCCAGCAACTGCAATTTGCCCAGATAGTTTGAGAATCACTACCTGATATAGATAAAATTTTACTCAATGGGATTTGAAGTTTCAACCTAGACAGGGAAGAGTTCTTTCAAAGAAATGCATTTCAATCTAGCTAGGGAAGACTTCTGCCAAAGCAATGCACTTCTAGACAAAACTTTTTTCCCTTTGTCTTATACTATACTTGTACAGGTTGAGCATTCCTTATCTAGAACTCCAAAATCTGACATTTTCCTTATGGGTTGCCAAGATAGGACACCTTTGCTTTCTGAAGGTGCAATGTACACACACTTTGTCTCATGCACAAAATTATTTAAAATACAGTATTGTGTATAAAGTTACCTTCAGGCTATGTATATGAAAAAAAATCCATCAATTCTGTATTTAGATTTGGATCCCAACAACATATTTCATTATCTACATTGATGCAAATAAAGAGATATTTCAAAATCTGAAGAAAACCCACAATACAAAATCCTTCTGGTCCCAAGCACTTTAGATAAGGAATACTTAATTGATATTAATTGTGATTAGCAAAACAACTGTTTTGACAGACTTGTCTTTATGTTAATTTTAAATTACATTTGCTTTCAAAGTATATATTATTACTGTCAGTTGTACTGAACATCTCTATAGGAAAGGAAAGGTCAAGCTGACGTTACCTTATAACAACCTTTATCATGAGATAGCTCCCAAGGTGGAGTATACATTTAATAAAATTACACTGCTGTCATCTGTCTCCAGATGATGGAAATACGAACAGCTTGGGTGAAAACGGGCAGGAGAAAGAATTAGGACAATCAGTCATTTTAACTTTAACAGCCAGAAGGGCTTCAGTGTTAGAAGGTGGAGTGTAAGACTGACACAAGACTGCAGTGTATAGACTGCAGCCCTCAGTATACTCATCTGCTGCAAAAGAACCATGAAGAGGCTTTGAAAATTATGAAACACCAAGACACTATTTTTTTTTATATTTATAAACAATCCTCACATTCAATGATAATCAAAAAACAAAATAGTAATGTAAGTTAGTACTAGTAGCTTCATCAACACTTCTGTAACTGATTCTACACACCTAGTGATGGAAGCTTTATTTTTCCAAGAGTAAACAGAATATATATGGTTTGGGGAAAATACAATGAAGCAGTACATTTAAAAAAAAACAAACATCTGGATCATCTGAAACAAATGGGTAACTGAGAAACATTTTAAAAATAATACTGGTAAGGTTGTTGAAAGATTCCTTTAAAAAAAGAGCCAGATATATGTTAAATTGTAATATTTAAGAAGGTAATTGTGACTTACTTCCACTGTAAAGAGCAGGGAAGGAAGGGTAAGAAAAATGTTTTGTGTTACCTTGGAGATTAAGTGATTTATTTAAACTGGTGTAATTCACAGATTACAATCCACTTTCTCAAATGGACTGATCCATTTATAATCCCGCATCAGGCATGAGCAGTTGCATAATTTGGAGGAATCAGAGAGAAAAAGTATACTAATGAGTACAACTGTCACACTGGTACAGCTATCTTCCTGCGCATTTATACCTGAGTGTTAAACACTGCACATAAACGTATAGAAAGTCAGTTTTGGCATCACCCCTCTGATGGTGTCACTTGGTGTGCTGGCCATCCCACACATCTGCCAGCAACATTACTCTCACTTCTTCTGTAGTTCTTCTAATGTTCTGTGGTGTGCAATTTGTTAAGGGTTGTTCTTAGGACACAGCTACACTGTAGGATGACTGTAGTTTAACACCACTTTAACTGCTATGACTCAATCCTAGGAATCCTAGGAGTTGTAGTTTGAGTGTCAAACTGAATTCTGGGAATTGTGTTTAGGTGAGCCACCCGCACCTTTTGATAGAGAAGGCGAAAGACCTTGTAAAACTATAAATCCCAATATTCCATAGCAGTCATGGGCAAACTTTGGCCCTCCAGGTGTTTTGGACTTCAACTCCCACAAATCCTAACAGCCTATTAGCTCTTGGGAATTGTAGGAGTTGGAATCCAAAACACCTGGAGGGCTGAAGTTTGTCCATGCCTGTTCCCTAGCATTGAGCCACAGCAGTTAAAAGTGTAGTCAAGCTGCATTTATTCCAGGGTATAAATGCATCCTTAGGATATTTGTAAAGGCAGTTTTTATAGTTGCTTGTTTCCTTCCTGAAGCCCTTGAAGAGAAGTGGAATTTATATTTAGAGTTAAAAATAAAAACGCCCCACCTCTAGTAAACGGCAGAAGACTGGATCAGGACTTGCACACTTCTTGTAAGGAATAGGTAAAGGTTTTCCCCTGACATTTAGTCCAGTCATGTCCGACTCTGGGGTGTGGTGTTCATCTCCATTTCTAAGAGCTGGCGTTGTCCATAGACACCTCCAAGATCATGTGGCTGGCATGACTGCATGGAGCGCCGTTACCTTCCCGCCGGAGCAGTACCTATTTATCTACTCACACTTGAATGTTTTGGAACTGCTAGTTGGCAGTAACTGGGGCTGACAGCAGAAGCTCACGCTGCTCCCTGGATTCGAACCTGCAACCTTTCAGTCAACAAGCTTAGCAGCTTAGTGGTTTAACCCACTGCGCCATCGGAGGCTCCTCTTGTAGGAAGAAATAACAACCAATAATAATGAAAAAGAGGATCAATTTATCTGGCACTTTAACCACAATACCTACAACAACTAGCTGCCCTCACCACAGTAAGTAATAACACATCAACAATAATGCAGATGAGTGTTATCTGGCACTTTAACCACAATGCCTGTCCCAACTAACCGACCTCACAATAAATAATAATATAAATAATAATAAATCAACAATAATAATGCAAGGGGGAGGGTTATCTGGCACTTTAACCGCAATACCTGCCACAGTAACTCATTGCCTCCTGAAGCATCAGAGTCAAAATCAACAACAAGGTTCCGTAAGAAGGGAAGCAGAAAGTGCTCTCCTTACCTCAAATCACCTTGCACTCTTTCGAATGACACCGGCAAAACAGGACACCTGCTGGACACTCAAGTGTGTGTGTGTGTGTTCAGGGCCAACCTTTCCTCGATCTCAGTGTTTGTTCAAGGCCAGCCTCTCCTTGATCCCTCTGCAAACAGCAGGACTGAGGCGGGCAAGCGAGGCTGGCGCTTGAAATCGTAGGGAGAGACCAAAGTGAAGCGGCTCCACCGCGGGAGCCAATGGGAGCGCGCCGGAAGTGACGCAAGGGGAGGCCATTTTTTAAAAACCCTGAGGGAGACCTCCTCCCTCTGAAACCAGACCTCTCTGTCACTCACTTTGAATTCAAACCAGCTGACAGGCGGGAGTGTTAGTACTACAGCAGGCTTCCTCTAACGGGGGCCTTCCAGCTGTTTGGGCCTTTAATTCGCACAATTCCTGACTACTGAATGAGCTGGCAATAGGGGCTTCTGAGAGTTGGAGATCAAACAGCTGAAGGGCTGCAGTTTGAAGAAGCCTGACCCACAGCAGCTGGTATTCACCGGTGGTTTTCCATCCAGTCTAACCAAGGCTGACCCTGCTTAGCTTCCAAAGCCAGTCAGGATCTGGTGCCTTTTGGGAGCACCGGCTTCTATAAACCTCCACAGAATCTGAATCCCTTTTTCTTTTTCCTTCATCACATTAGATAAAAAATCCACTTAAAATCCAGTTTCTGCCTCCTGCAGAATTATGGGGTTTGTAGTAGTGAGGCTGTTAAAGTCTCCTCCCTAAACTACAAACCCCAGAATTCTGCAGGAGGCAGCAACCGGATTTAAAGTGGATTCATTCTCTAGTATGATGAGGCCTACAAAGAGTTCAGATTCTTAGAGACAATCCCAATCCCTTATCCACAGTTTAGAAATGTTAAAAAAATCTCTCCTCAAAAAAAGTAAGCACCCACAGGGTGCATCTACTCTGTAGTCCAGTGGTTCTCAACCTGTGAGTCCCCAGGTGTTTTGGCCCCAGCTCCCAGAAATCCCAGCTAGTTTACCAACTGTTAGGATTTCTGGGAGTTGGAGGCCAAAACACCTAGGGACCCACAGGTTAAGAACCACTGCTGTAGTAGAATGAACACAGTTTGACACCACCTGGCTCAATGCTATGGGATAATCCTAAGAACTGTAGTTTTACAAGGACCTTTGCCTTCTCTGCATACACTACTGGTGTCTCGCCGAACTACAAATCCCAGAGTGAGTCGAGGCAGTTCAAATGGTGTCAAACTGCGTTAATTCTGTAGTGTAGATGCAGCTGACTTGGACACACGTGGAGCCCGTGTCTCTGTATATTATAATCAGAAGTCAGCCTTCCTAGAATGGCAGGGCTTTATTCCCAGACGCTCCATGCAGTCATGCCGGACACATGACCTTGGAGGCGCCTACGGACAACGCCGGCTCTTCGCCTTAGAAATGGAGTTGAGCACCCCCCCCCCCCCCCCCCCCGAGTCGGACTCGACTAGACTTAATGTCAAACCTTTACCTTGTGTTCCCAGATAAATGAACTAGGGCGGAACCCCACTAACTCCCTCCCTCCCTCCCAGTTGTCTATTTACCGTCTGCGACCGGCTCCCCATGGCGTCTCCTGCCGCCCTCGCTTCCCTTTGGGCTCGGTAAGGACACCAAACCCGATTCCTTCCCGCCTCTCAAACTGCGAATGGCGCCAAAAGGCTCCCGCGCGCCGCCTTAAAGGGGCCACGCCGCTTCCTGTTGCCTTGACAAGGTTACTTACTTCAGAGTGAGCCCATTGATCTCAATAGGGTTTAGGCCCCTTCTGCGCTGTCATATAAAACTTAGATTGTGTGGATTATCTGCTTGGATAATCTGGCAGTGTAGAAGGGGCAGGAGTCCAACGCGGAAATCACTATGTCACTCCGCCTCCCATACATCACTGTTTTTTTCGAATGGCCATTCCCAGTCCGGCGTTGCCCCTTTAAGGCTCTTTCGGCTCCTTGCTAAGTCTTTGTTGCTTCTGCGCATGCGCCAGGGTGCTGCAGTTAAGAGTGATGATACAGTTAGAGAAGCGTCCCTAGGTAGTCTTGCTTCTGGAAACAGCAGAGGGTCCACCTACCCTGTTTCAAACTGCATTATAAGGTAGTGTAAGCCGCCCCGAGTCCTCTTGGAGAGGGAGCGGGATATAACTAAAATTATTATTATTATTATTGTGTAGATGGGGCCAGAAAAAAACATTAAAAGATCAGAGCTTTTTAAAAGGCGGAGAAGAACAAAATGCCTAGTAACGTGTGGACAATAGAAGACCACAGGTGCATCCACACACTGTAGAACAAATGCAGTTTGACACCATTTTAACTGCCCTGGCTCAGTACTATGGGGTCCTGGGAGTTGTGTTTTGGCGAGGCATCAGCACTCCTTGGTAGAGATGGCCAAAGACCTTAGAACATGACAGCTCCCAGGATTCTATATCATTGAACCCTGACAGTTATAAGTGGCGTCAAACTGCATTAATTATACAATGTAGATGCACCCCATGAGGCAGAATGTGGAGGGTTGCCTCAGGCAGAGAATTTTGTCAAGAAAAGACAGCCTTTTCTTAGTCATTTAATACATTGAATTGCTTTGAGTTTTCCAGGCTGCAAGGCCATGTTCCAGAAGCATTCTTTCCTGACGCTTCACTCACATCTGTGGCAGGCATCCTCACAACCTCTGAGGATGCCTTCCATAGATGTGGGTGAAACATCAGGAGAGAATGCTTCTGGAACATGGCCTTACAGCTTGGAAAACTCATAGCAACCCTGTGAATCTGGCCATGAAAGCCTTCAACAATACATGTAATACATTGTTATTATGATTTTTTACTGCCAGGAGAGGGATTTCCTCCACCAAAATAACTAGCTTTAAGCACCATGTAGCAGGTTGGGTGGATTTGCTGCTGTGCCTCAAATAGCAAAATGTCTTGGGCAAGTTCCTGCCGTTGAGAAAAGCACCGTAAGCAGGGATTTCTCCAACATCTCTACCTTAAAAGTCTTTAATGTGTTTTGTCCCAACACATGGAGGGAAAAAACCCCCACTTTTGATAAATTCATCATAGAGAATGAGAATAAGTTCCTTATAGGGAATGTCAAGTATTTAAAATAGCAGTAAAGGGACAACTGAAATTCACGACACGCAAGGCTGACAACATTCAAAAACAGCAACCTAAATACTAAATGAAATTTTGATTTCAGAGTTTCTCTCTAAAATTAACATAATTTCAATAGTCCCAGATCTCTCCAGTGTTGAACTCCTATTACCCCTAGATTTGGGTGGCGGAAGTCAAGAGTCTGCTCCTAACTGGTCAGATGGGTCAGCCTTTTGGTGGGATGTAACACTCTTCATCCCCAGACTGTAGTGAAGGGGTAAAGATGTTGGGAGATGCAGGCTGGTAAGTAGGGCGAGCCTTCTGATTTGTTAGACAGTGGTTCTCAACCTGTGAGTCCCCAGGTGTTTTGGCCTACAACTCCCCAAAATCCCAGCCAGTTTACCAGCTGTTAGGATTTTTGGAATTTGAAGGCCAAAACACCTGGGGAAACACAGGTTGAGAACCACTGAATTAGGAAGGGGCGAATGCATTTGATTGTGTTGGGACTCACATGACTTTCTAGATGTGATTCAACTACAACTCCCATCATTACCTATCAATTCCCCCAAATCCCACAAGTTGGCTATGATGGGTATGTGTGCCAGGTTTGGTCCAGAGCTGTCATTGGTGGCCATGATGTGACTCCCTGGATGTGGGCGTACTACAGATCCCATCCTCTATCATCCCACCCCTCAACCCTCCAATTTTTGAAGTTGGTCATGATGGCTATGTGTCCCAAGTTCAGTCCAGCTCCATTGGTGGTGGCAGTCACATGGATTACTGCTCCTATAAACCTCTATCAGTACACACCCCCTTCAAGAAAAACCCCTCAATTATTTTTAAGTTGGGCCATAATGGGTATGTGTGGCAAGTTTGGTCCCAATTCATTAAACCACACAGGAGCCTTTGTGGATCAAATATACACATAAATACATTTTGACTGTTACAATATAGAAATGGCAAAACCAAGATATGGTTTTTAGTTTTTTTGATGGGGGGAATATTTTCAAATTGTGGATTATGGGACCTGTGAATCCAGTACCTAAAGATATGGAGGGCCGACTGTGTAAGTATTTTAGGGACACCCAGCTACTATCTGAACTGGAAGACTCAGTGTTGTATTTCCTTCCTCATCCTCCCTTCCCACCCTTTCAGGAAACTGAACAAAGTTCTTGTGAATCACCTTGGCTGTGTTGTATGCCCATGGAGCCAATACAAGAGTACACTACATGGTCATGATAAGGAGCTCTGTCCTGATCCCAGCATTTCATTCTTCCTCTGGATCAATGCAGAGTTAAAGGCTACAGAGTAAGTTGTTGAATTGTGTGCCTGGGAGCTTCCCTTGCCATTTCCCCAGGGGCACTGACAGAACTGGAAGTAACTTGCCACAATACAAGTATTAATAGAGAAGTCGTCTACAATTGGAGTTTGCAATCTAATTAATAGAACAGGGAAATACAGTGTTGGAATAAAGATGGGGAACATGTGGGCTTCCCCAGGATGCAGGCAGTCCCCATGTTAAAACAAGATCGATTCTGTAGGGTCGTTCTTAAACTACATTTTTAAGTGTACCTCCACCCAAAGGTTTTTTGTTTGTTTGTTTTGGATAGCACAGGGAAGGGTTAACATCCTAGAACACTTGTTTTCCTGTCTGAACACTTGTTTTCCTGTCTGTGGCTTTGTTCACAAGCTTTCTGTCCCTGTGACAATTGAATTTTGAAAATTTTGGCTTGCCATGGAAACAAGGATTGTTGATAAAGCTTCAGTGGAGACCCCTTTTTCCCATGATAACTCTTCCAGGAGTGAATTTCCCTTCCTAGGGGGAGATGTCCTCTCACTTCCTGTTGTCTTGCCCCTGTATGTAACAAGGAGTTGTATATGTAAGTCAGATGTCTGTAATTCAAAGACTGCCTGTACTAAGATGCAGTGTTTGTCACCTCACACCCTTGGATATGCTTGTTAGGGCTGATAGGAAATGCAATCCGCTTGGAGGGCCACATGATCTTTATCCCAGCATGAGATTATGCAGTGAAGACACAACATCCTACTGGTGATGCCAAATTAGGATGGAAATCCTTAGATAGGAAATCCTTCATTTCAATAGGTCTTGCTATTATCTGT